CCAGGAATGGAATTCTGGGAACTAGAAGAACACGAAGTGGCCTACAGTTGGCTCCGGGCATTCAAAAACATGCCCAGGAATGGAGTTCTGGGAACTTGAAGAGCACGAAGTGGCCTACACAGTTGGCTCCAGGCATTCAGAATGTGGCCCGGGAATGTAGTTCTGGGACCTCGAAGACCACGAAGTGTGTAACTGTTTGCTTAGAACGACTTCCGCGGATTCTCCCCGGCACCCGCCCAGACCCCCTTGGGGAGACAAGGTGCTTTCTTTTGACACCACTAGAAACCTAGCAGTCTTCGCTGTTAGGTAAAAACCGAGCACCAAGAAAGCACCGAAGCTCGATGATTTTCACGTGTCGGGCCCTGTGACACACTCGTTCGACACTGTTTCGACACTCTCATGACACTGTTTCGACACTTTTTCTGGGTGCTCGAAATTATTTCTGGGATGTGGTCCTTGAGCACGGCGGGAGCTGCACAACTCGAAGGGCGATCCCCCCCCCCCCCCGGCAACGGCCCCGCCCTGAGCCTCCGCGAGCCAGCAGCGGGCGGCCTGGGCGCGGCGGCGGCAAGGGCGAGCGCCGCGAGAGGCCCGCCGACCGCGGAGAGCGCGGGGGCGAGCGAGGCGGCTGGGTCTCTGCGCCCCGAGGAGGAGGAGGAGGAGGAGGAGGAGGAGGAGGAGGAGGAGGAGGAGGAGGAGGAGGAGGAGGAGGAGAAGGAGGAGGAGCGAGGAGAAGGAGGAGGAGGAGGAGGAGGAGGAGGAGGAGGAGGAGGAGGAGGAGGAGGAGGAGGAGGAGGATCGGCAGCGTGCGCAGTGGCGGCCTGCCGAGGAGGGCGGGGCGGCCTCCCCAAAGGCAGGGCTCCTTATCGAAGAAAGCCCCCTGGGGGCTTCCAGGGGGGGAGCTGGTCTCAGGGGTTGGCCTGGTGAGGGTGACGACTGGGGGGGGGTATCTAGGCTGGGGCCATGACGTCTCCCCTGATGTTATGGCCCCTCTTCTCAGGGGCAACGATACGGGAGGGATAGTCATACGGGGGGATGCATCGACTCCCAAACGCCCATTGATCGCCGATAGGGGGCCCGGGAACGTGGGGATTCGCTATCGGGGGTGCGTCGCCGACCTATCGGCGATGCATCGCCGATTACAGGTCGATGTTTCCCCCCTTATGCCAGCCCCCCTACTGTTTCTCTTCACCGTCTTATTTCAAAACGTCCTTGCGCCCCCTATTGCCGCCGCGAGCGTGTCTCGGGCCATGATGCGCGCGCTCCCCTCGTGAGCGCACCCGATGGTCGGACGAGATGGGGATGGGGGGATTAGGACATCTGGTGGGTAAAAGATCGACCTGGTGCAGCTGGCTTCGGAATCGCCGCTGGGCGCCTTTGTATTTTGGGCAGCTTCGCAAGTCAAGCATACATGTCCGCTCTACTTGTTCTAGTGTTTTCGACGCCGACTTCCGCCCTATTTTGCCATCGCTGTGCCTGCCACAGTTTTGCGGACATGTCCGCCCTCTTTTCTCTGAGGCGGAAATGTCCGCCATATCTTATCAAACCGTCTGGGGTGCGTTTCCGACACGATTTCAAGTAGGAGGGCCAATCAAAGCACGGCGGAACGAGGTATAAGATCGAGGTCGGTTCGGGGAGGGTACGCTAGTGTTCTTCGGGCTTGTTGGATGTTCTTGTGCATCCTGGGGGAGAGGACACCCTTCGATGTTCTGTTTGTACTGGCCGACGTAGGGCCTCGTGTACTTGAGGGATGCTTTTCTGGCTGAGGTCAAACTGCAGGAGGGCCAATCGATCTACGGCGGATCTGGAGTCAGGGAGGGGGCAGGATAGGGACCAGGGAGGGGGGGGTGGAGGAGCAGGAGGAGGAGGCAGAGGAAGAGGAGGAGAGGAGGAGGCGGAGAGGAGGCGGAGGAGGAGAAGGAGGAGGAGAGGAGGGAGAGGAGGGGGAAGGAGGAAGGGGAGGAGGAGGAGGAGGAGAGGAGAAGGAGGAGGAGGAGAAGAAGGGAAGGGAGTAGGAAGGAGAAGAGGAGGAGGAGAGGAGGCGGAGGAGAGGAGGAGAAGGAGAAGGAGAAGGAGAAGGAGATGAAGGAGGAGTCAGAGGAGGAAGGGGAGGAGGAGAAGGAGATGAAGGAGGAGGAGGAGGAGGAGGAGGAGGAGGAGGAGGAGAAGGAGATGAAGGAGGAGGAGGAGGAGGAGGAGATGGAGACGGCGCCTGCCATGGCGCCCTCGGCGCACCGGCAGCCGCACAAAAAAATATACCGGCCGCCGGCTGCACGGCAGCCTCGCCGCAGGGAGCTCTCCTGTGCCCCCGGCGCCTGGGCGACGCCAACCCAGTGCCGTTTAGCCGATCCCGATCCCAAATCCCATCTTCGACTAGACGTAAGAGTGACTCGCCGAGCGCGTTCCTCTACTCGCAAGATGCCTACTCGCAAACGCCCGATAAACAAACGTCTGCGTCGAAATACTGTATCGCAAATCCCCCTCGGCGGATTCAGGCTATTTGCGAGTAGTTACTTTGCGAGTAGTGGAGCGCGCCTGTTTAGTGACTTTTCGCCGGAGTGACCTTTGATGCGGGCCCCATGGGATCGCCCGATCGCCGAGCGCAATGCGATAGCAGCGCCTTGCGCGCTTGCGTTTGGTCCTCCCGTGGCCCCCCAAAAGCCGCGCACCAAAGGTCACTCTTACGCAGGTTCACTCTTGCGTGTAGCCGACTTCCCGATCCCGAACCCCACCATCCCACCACCCCAGTTCGGGAAATGCGTTTCGAGACTCGAAGGGAGCAGCCTGTACCCCCGTCTACGTAGGGGGTAGATCGGCCAGTGGGGCCCAGGCCACGCCAGTGCGGACATGGACCGCTTAAACGATGCTAAGGAAAACAGCTGCACGTACATGATTCGGTAACCCCCCGTTGCTGGAGGACAAGGAGGAGGAGGCGGAGGCGGAGGCGAAGGCGGAGGTGGAGAATGAGGAGGAGGAGGAGGAGGCGGATGAGGAGAAGGAGGAGGAAAAAGAGGAGGACACGGAGGAGGCGCAGGCGGAGGAGGAATCGGAGGAGGAGGAGGAGGAGTTGGAGGAGGAGGAGGAGGAGGAGGAGGAGAAGGCGGAATAGGAGGCGTCGGCGGCGGTGGAGGAGGATGACCAGAGTAAACCAAAGATGCATAGGCGATGCTGCAAAACACTCTCCCGTCCTAAGTTCCCTCCTTGCACGCCCCTGCCACTCCTCCCTTTCACTAGAAGCGCCCACACGTAAATACCAGCACTGGAATTGCCCTGCGTATTTCCAGCGCGTAATCAGGAGCGCGGGGAAATTATCATTCAGCTCAACGAGGGTCCAGTGAGATCCCCATTTCGAAGAAGGACGGCACCCCCTCATCCGTTTAACTGTTGCATGAGGTTTGCTTGAGGTAATGAACTTCGAGGAAGTTTCAAGGGACAGCTCCATTTTGAAGACCAGGCGCCATGGGTCCGTGCAGTCTGACGTGCGTTGACAATCCGGGTCTTGGGACCAAACGAAGCCTCAGGAGGCAACCCCATTTTGAAAATTGACAGCCCTCTATCCTGCTAAACTATGCATGTTAAAAAGAATGTTCGCGGCGTTGAGGCGACGGTGCCGTTTTGAAGACGGCCCGTGCCCGTGGAGCTGTTGCAATCTGTTGGGTCGTATGTTCGCGGCGCTGAGGCGAGAGCCCCACTTCGACAAAGAGCCGCCCTCCATCTGTAAAGCTATTTCGATTGTTTCAACGAACGCGCGCGGCGCTATGGCGAGAGTCGCATTTTGAAAACGTCCCCCCGTCGGGCCCCCCGTCAGATTTTACAACTGTTGCTAATGTTCGAGACGAGTGTGCGCGGCGCTACGGCGAGAGCCACGCTTTGAACACGACTCACCCATCCATGCGTGAAACGATTGCAACGTTTTGAGACGAATGAGCGCCGCGCCAAGGCGAGAGCCACATTTCAAAAACTACCCCTCCATCCGCGAAGCTGTTGCACTTTTTTCAAGATGTCTGCGCGCGGCGCTAAGGCGAGGACCACATGTTGAACCGGAACATTCTCTTCCATCAGTGAAGATGTTGCAATGTTTGCAGCCGATTGTGCGCGGCGCTCAGATGATAACCACATTCTGAAAGTGGCCCACCCCTCCATCTGTGAAGTTGGTGTACGCCTGTAAGACCAAAGCGCGCAACGCTGAGGGGAGAGCTCTATTTCGAGAGTGCCCCGCCCTTTATCTGTCAAGCTGCTGCGAGTTTCAAGCCTCAGGACCAAACATGCCGAGGAAGTGTCAGGCAGCGCGCCCGGGCCCGCCCCACCGACCCGCATGGAGGTGCGACAGGGAGGAATTATTTATGAGGAACAGGGGCGGAGGAGGAGGAGGAGGAGGAGACTGGGAGGGAGGCGACGAGGAGGGAGGCGACTGGACCCTGTGTGGGAAGCCTATTCACAGCTGCCTAGAATTGCCCAGCGCCGAAAGAATCACATTGGATATTGTGGCGAGGGTGGGAGTATTAGTAAGGATGGGGAGGTACGTTAGGAGGTCGATTGGCTTTTCCCACCTCCGCTCCTCCCCTCCACTCTGCTATTCTTCTCCCCCTGCCTCCGCATGGCCACCTGCCCCTCTCCTCCCTCCCCTCCCCCCCCTCCTCCTCCTCCTCCTCCTCCTCCTCCTCCTCCTCCTCCTCCTCCTCCTCCTCCTCCTCCTCCTCCTCCTCCCCACCTGTCCCGCCCACCGGAGCCGAGGGGGCAGCGCGCTCGAGATCAGTGCGCCCCCCAGGCGAAGGAATCGAGGCCTGCGGCTGTGGGGCGCACTCTCCGGCCACGCGGCGCAGAGAGAGGTTAGGGTGGGGGGGGGGAGGCTTCTCCCAAGCACCCCTGCTTCTTAGGCGGCGTGGGGCTTGTCTAGGGGCCGGCGCCCTCTAAGGAGCATCAAGGGGAGGAAGAACAGCCCGGACCGGACAATCGGCGTTTAAACGGCCCCGGGCGTTTATTACTGTTTGATTCCTTCTTGCGGTGCGTTGACAAAATGGCTTCGCGTGTCGGGGTGGTTATTCTCGGGGTGGATTTTCTGCCCTCTAGAGCAGCCTCCTTCTACGAAATCTCCCCCCCGCGCCGTCCCTAAGCAGAGCTTGCTCTTCGTGGCCTAGACCTCGTCTTCGGGAGCGGCATTCGATCCAAGGCCATTTTGTGACGGTCCCGGGGCCCGGGGAGGGATATCGGGAGGGAAATCAGCACACAGACGCCATGAATCGTCGATCCCCCGGAACAACATGGGAAAATATATGGAGTAGTGTGGGGGGGGGGAGGCGAACATCTAGAAAATATGCGAAGATACTGAGAATCCTGGGATGTGTGTCTATTTCTTTGTGTGTCCCTGGGCCTCTGCAAAACAGCGCGCCGTGATCTCTTCGCCGCGAGAGGAGGTGGGGCATGCCAGCGGACGTGCAACGGGGGCGGGGTCGCCGGCGGCAGCTCGCAGGCGCACGGCCTGACACCGGGTGGCCTCCTTGGCCCCATAGATAGCAGAAAAAGGCGAATCCCGAACACAAGCCGAATCCGTCCGTTCTCTGATCTTATGATGTCCCAGCCTACTTTAGCCTTGATCGTCAGGAAGAATTTCGAGCGCCCCAAAAAAGTACCGAAACTCGAAAGTTTTCACGTGCCGGGCCCTGGGAGACACTCGTCCGACACTGTGTCGACACCATTTCGGCGCTCTTTCGACACTTCTTCTGGGTGCTCGAGACTACTTCTGGGATGTGGTCCTTGAGTACGATAGGAGCAGCACATCTCTGATCCCGGTTCCGAAGCTCGGGCCGGGCGAAAGGGGGGGATAGGGAAAGGGGGGGGGACGAAATTTGCTGCATGCAGCTGGCTTCGGCCCCGCCGCCGTGCCCATTCCTCGATACATGGGCGCCGCCCAGCGCCGGGAGGCGCGGGGAAACTCAGCTGCGTGAGCTGATTCTCAACCCCCCCCTTTGCCATCCCCCCCTTTCGCCCGGCCCGAGCTTCCGAGGGATGGAGGGTGGTAGCTTCTCGACCTGTGGCTCTCGCCCCTGCGCCGCGCGCATCCGCTTCCAAGCGCGCGCCCTGGTCTCCAGAGGATGGAGGGCGGCTCCCTCTCCGCACGGCGCCGGCGCTGCCGCACCGCGCACAACACTCGGGCCACGGCCTTGCGGCAGCAGCAGCCGGCATGGACGGCGACTCGTCTTCAGAGTCGGCGTCCTGCCCGCGACTTCCTCCTGGGCCGACGGCACGAACACCTCGAGCACGCGTGATACAGCTCCCTCCCGGCGGACGGCGGCTCCCGGCGGACGGCGGCTCGTCTTCAGAATCGGCGTCCTGCCCGCGACTCCCTCCTCGGCCGACGGCACGAAGATCTCGAACACACGCGTGATATATAGCTGCACGGGCGGAGGGTGGGTGCGCTTCAGGAGAGGGCCCCTATGCGGGAGGCACCTGCGAGCCCGGCGGCCAGAAGTGAGAAGTGCGCACAAGAGGTGCGAAAGAAAGGGGAGCGGTTCGTGTCATGGCGGGGCTCTCGCTGGATTTATCTGTTGAGCTTGCTGGTCTCAGGCTTCTCGTTCCTGGGGTGCCGCCAGGCGGATGCGAGGCAGTCCCTCTGCAAAGAGTAGTGGTCTTCGGGGAGGGGACTCGAGACGGGAGGATGCGTTGCAGCATCGTTGATGCATTCTGGTGTTGCACTGGTCCTGTTTCTCCTCCTTCTCCTCCTCCTCCTCCTCCTCCTCCTCCTCCTCCTCTCGCGGGCGATCGAGGGACGAGGCTTGGGGTTCACACTCGATGGATTGCACCGCATGGGTTGTACCACGTAGATCACACCGCGCACATTATGCCACACAGAGTGCACTACATAGATTGCGCCACGCAGCTTCCACGTCCGGGTTTGAATACCTCCTTGCTTGGCATCGTTTCAAACGCTTGCGTCAGCTACAGGGGTGGAGGGTGGTACCTTCTCGACCTGGGGCTCTCGCCCCTGCGCCGCGCACATCCGCTTTCACGCGCGTGCCTTGGCCTCAAGAGGATGGAGGGCGGCTCCCTTGCCGCACGGCGCTGGCGCTGCAGCACCGCGCACACTTCGGGCCACGGCCTTGCAGCAGCAGCAGCCGGGGTGGACGGCGGCTCGTTTGCAGAGTCGGCGTCCTGCCTGCGGCTCCCTCCTGGGCCGACGGTACGAGCAGCCGGAACACACGCGTGATGTATAGCTGCACGCGCGGAGGGCGGAGGCGTTTTTCAGGAGAGGGCCCCTATGCTGGAGGCACCTGCGAGCCCAGCGGCCCGAAGTGAGAAGGGAGCACAACCGGTGTGAAAGAAAGGCGATCGGTTCGTTGTCATGGCGGGGCTCTCGCTGGATTCGTTGTTGAGCTTTGATGGTGTCGGGCTTCTCGTTCCTGGGGTGCCGCCAGGCGGATGCGAGGCAGTCCCTCTGCAAAGAGTAGTGGTCTTCGGGGAGGGGACTCGAGACGGGAGGATGCGTTGCAGCATCGTTGATGCATTCTGGTGTTGCACTGGTCCTGTTTCTCCTCCTTCTCCTCCTCCTCCTCCTCCTCCTCCTCCTCCTCCTCCTCTCGCGGGCGATCGAGGGACGAGGCTTGGGGTTCACACTCGATGGATTGCACCGCATGGGTTGTACCACGTAGATCACACCGCGCACATTATGCCACACAGAGTGCACTACATAGATTGCGCCACGCAGCTTCCACGTCCGGGTTTGAATACCTCCTTGCTTGGCATCGTTTCAAACGCTTGCGTCAGCTACAGGGGTGGAGGGTGGTACCTTCTCGACCTGGGGCTCTCGCCCCTGCGCCGCGCACATCCGCTTTCACGCGCGTGCCTTGGCCTCAAGAGGATGGAGGGCGGCTCCCTTGCCGCACGGCGCTGGCGCTGCAGCACCGCGCACACTTCGGGCCACGGCCTTGCAGCAGCAGCAGCCGGGGTGGACGGCGGCTCGTTTGCAGAGTCGGCGTCCTGCCTGCGGCTCCCTCCTGGGCCGACGGTACGAGCAGCCGGAACACACGCGTGATGTATAGCTGCACGCGCGGAGGGCGGAGGCGTTTTTCAGGAGAGGGCCCCTATGCTGGAGGCACCTGCGAGCCCAGCGGCCCGAAGTGAGAAGGGAGCACAACCGGTGTGAAAGAAAGGCGATCGGTTCGTTGTCATGGCGGGGCTCTCGCTGGATTCGTTGTTGAGCTTTGATGGTGTCGGGCTTCTCGTTCCTGGGGTGCCGCCAGGCGGATGCGAGGCAGTCCCTCTGCAAAGAGTAGTGGTCTTCGGGGAGGGGACTCGAGACGGGAGGATGCGTTGCAGCATCGTTTATGCATTCTGGTTTTGCACTGGTCCTGTTTCTCCTCCTCCTCCTCCTCCTCCTCCTCCTCCTCCTCCTCCTCCTCCTCCTCCTCCTCTCGCGGGCGATCGAGGGACGAGGCTTGGGGTTCACACTCGATGGATTGCACCGCATGGGTTGTACCACGTAGATCACACCGCGCACATTATGCCACACAGAGTGCACTACATAGATTGCGCCACGCAGCTTCCACGTCCGGGTTTGAATACCTCCTTGCTTGGCATCGTTTCAAACGCTTGCGTCAGCTACAGGGGTGGAGGGTGGTACCTTCTCGACCTGGGGCTCTCGCCCCTGCGCCGCGCACATCCGCTTTCACGCGCGTGCCTTGGCCTCAAGAGGATGGAGGGCGGCTCCCTTGCCGCACGGCGCTGGCGCTGCAGCACCGCGCACACTTCGGGCCACGGCCTTGCAGCAGCAGCAGCCGGGGTGGACGGCGGCTCGTTTGCAGAGTCGGCGTCCTGCCTGCGGCTCCCTCCTGGGCCGACGGTACGAGCAGCCGGAACACACGCGTGATGTATAGCTGCACGCGCGGAGGGCGGAGGCGTTTTTCAGGAGAGGGCCCCTATGCTGGAGGCACCTGCGAGCCCAGCGGCCCGAAGTGAGAAGGGAGCACAACCGGTGTGAAAGAAAGGCGATCGGTTCGTTGTCATGGCGGGGCTCTCGCTGGATTCGTTGTTGAGCTTTGATGGTGTCGGGCTTCTCGTTCCTGGGGTGCCGCCAGGCGGATGCGAGGCAGTCCCTCTGCAAAGAGTAGTGGTCTTCGGGGAGGGGACTCGAGACGGGAGGATGCGTTGCAGCATCGTTTATGCATTCTGGTTTTGCACTGGTCCTGTTTCTCCTCCTCCTCCTCCTCCTCCTCCTCCTCCTCCTCCTCCTCCTCCTCCTCCTCCTCTCGCGGGCGATCGAGGGACGAGGCTTGGGGAAGTTCGGGGTCTTTGTTTGGAGCCCCATCCAGGAAGGACCTCTGGAGGGCTCCAGACCTCCTCCCCTGGACCCCTTGCCCTGGACTACCTTTCATCCCCCCGGGTCGCTGTTTTCGATTGCCCCGAGGCTCGGCAAGGGCCCCCTGAGAGGCCCGAAACAGCCAAAGACTCCTCGTCGTGATTGTTGGTTGCAGTCCCTCCCCCCCCCCCCCGTCTTCCTCGACCGGAGGAGAGAGAGGATCGGTGGGGGGCGGAGCGAGGCAGAGCTGGGGGGCAACAGCCCCGCCCCCTCCTCGCGCCGCCGCTTTGCCCTCTCGCCTCTCTCTCTGGAGAGGTGGCGAGCGGGTCCTCCTCCTCCTCTTCCTCCTCCTCCCTCCTCCTCCTCCTCCTCCTCCTCCTCCTCCTCCACCTCCTCCTCCTCCTCCTCCTCCTACCTCCTCCCTCTCCTCCCCTCCTCCTCCTCCTCCTCCTCCTCCTCCTCCTCCTCCTCCTCCTCCTCCTCCTCCACCTCCTCCTCCTCCTCCTCCTCCTCCTCCCTCCTCCTCCTCCTCCTCCTCCTCTCTCCTGGAGAGGTGGCGAGCGGGGTCAGAAGCCGCGCGAGAAGAAGCCCGACAAGAAGGACGGGTCGGCGGCGCGCAGAGGGGTGTGGCTCCAGGCCTCCTAGATTTAGGATGTGCCAACCTACTTCAGCCTTGGATCACCAGAAAGCAGTTCGAGCACCCAGAAAGTGTATCGGGCCGTGGGGGGGCATTCGTCCGACACTGTTTCGACACTGGTTTCGACACACTATCGACACTTTTCCGGGTGCTCGAAATTCTTTCTGGGATGTGGTCCTTAAGGACGATGGGAGCAGCATAATCCTAGATGGGGTCCGAGTAGATGGGGTCGGAGGCTCGCGCCGCATCCCCGATGCATCGCCGATGCATCGCCGATGCGGCTCGATGCGGGGCCCGATTTGCGCCACGTCGACGTTGCCGATGCATCGCCCACGTCGAGGATGCATCGCCGGTGCATCGCCGATGTATCGGCGATGCATCGCAGACGCATCGGCGACGCGTCGAGATGCTCCGACCCCATCCGCTCGGGCCCCATCCGGGAGGCCTCTAGCAGAGAGGGCGTGGCGCGGGGGGGGGCGACCTTTTCAGACGGCGCGGGGCCTCCCAGAGAGAGCAGAGGCCTTCTCGGGAGGCCGCGCAGGAGGCTTCGGAAGGAGCTTGCGCTCAGAGGCCGGGAGGACTTCTGGGAAGCTCCCCTCCACTTCTCAGAGGCCGCCCCACTTCTCCTCCTCCTCCTCCTCCTCCTCCTCCTCCTCCTCCTCCTCCTCCTCCTGGGGAAAGGAGGGCGTCAGCAGCATAAGTCTTGGCAGAGCAGAGCGCCGTGGTATCAATCTTCGACCACGGCAGGCGCAAGTATGTCTCTCAGCGACCAGTGGCCCAGTCTTGGGAATGGTAGCTCGAACGCATACGGCAATTACACGATGCAGCCTTGGCGACCAGCGACCCCTCGAGCGGATCTTCGACAGAACATCTCGCAGCGCATTGCTCTTCCCAAGCTTGGACGAGATGCGACCTGGTGCAAAGTCTGTGGGAAGTTCTGCTACAATGACCTGCTGGAGAAATTCGACTACACCTGCCAGTACTGCGGCTGTTTCCTCAAAGGACGTAAGCCCACAGGAACAGGAGGTGGGGCACCGCAACCAGCAGATGCTCTTCACGGATCTGGGACTTCGGACGGGGACAAGGCGGCCTTGGAGCGCATTATCGCTAAGGGAGGTGCAGCAGCTGAGCAGGCAAAACTACTTCGTGATACCTTGGTCAATCAAATTCCCGCTGCTGCACCACCGAAGCCTGCATCCGTCAGGCTCACGGAGGCGACGCAGAAGGTTGAGCGGGCCGAGGCCAGCATGGACAAGGTGGCAAAGCGTGTTCTCCGTCTCGAGCAAGAGCTGGGAGAAGCCATGGGATTCTACCGAGATTGTGCGAGCAACTTGGCAGATGCTATTGTGGCGCAGGAGCTCGTGGCCAAAGAGCTGGCGCCTGTCCCGCCTTCGTCTCCATCTGAGTTGGGGAAGCTGGACGTCCGTCAGTTCTTGGACCAAAAGGCGGAGCTCAACCTCAGCTTCGGGGGGCTCTTCGATGACGTGGACCTTGAGGATAGCGATCGCGAGGAGTTCGAGCGGCGCAAAAGCAATTTCGAGACGGAGTTCCGTGCGGCTTTGGACTCGCAGTTCCGCAAGGTGGTGGAAAATTTGGCCTCGCAGCAGCAGAAGAAGGTGGAGGAGATCGGATCTTGGCAACAGGCCAAGAAGCGCAAGTCCAGTTCGTGCCCGCCTGCCTCGGCGGCCAATCCAGGCGAAGGAGGATCAGTTGAAGCAGGTGGCGCTGAGGCTACGGCGGCTACTTCAGCCACAGGCCCTGCGGTGGGGGCCACTCCCTCCACACCTACGGCACCGACTCAGACAGCGGCGGCTGGAAAATCTCCCTGGGCGAGTGTCTCTCCTTTGGTCGACGGCAAGCAGACGGAGCTCCGCACCATCATGGACGAAGCGCTGGCCAGGAAGAGGGCAGGTGCAGTTGGCAGACAGTCGACAGTTTAGCAGCCCACCCTCGGCAGATCCCTGGCTCCCGCCCCGCCCTGGGCAGGTAGCAGCGCAGGGGGAGGCCAGTGAAGAGGGCACGTCGGGCAGATCTACTACAAGTACGGCGTCGACTTGGACTTCCAGGAGGTTATTCCAGGGGGTGGCCCCTCCTGGGACCCCTGGCCTGGACTTCGGCGGCACGAGTTTATTGCAGGGGGCGGCTCCTTTCGAGACCCCTGTCACGAACGTCGGCCAGGGCGACGACAGCTTACTAGCATACCAAGGGGTGGCCCCTCCTGGGACCCTTGGCACGGACGGGTATGACACGTTCTACTGCTCCACAGATAAGGCTGCATACCAAGGGGTGGCCCCCCTCGGGACCCTTGGCACGGACTGGGAGGCCTCGGTCCACAGCTCCACAGATGAGACTGCATACCAGGGGGTGGCCCCTCTCGGGACCCCTGGCAAGTTCGAGTCAGAGACGTTCTGCAGCACGCTGGGGGAGCATACTTACCAAGGGGTGGCCCCTCTCGGGGCCCTTGGCACGATCTGGGAGGACCAGGTTGGTTTTTTTCTGGGACGATCGTGCGTCTCAAATGGCAGCCTCTCTTGGGCTTTCTGGTGGTGGTTATTTCAATTACCCAGATAGTGGGATGCAGGGGGTGGCTTCTCTCGAGACCCCTGATTTGATGGATGGGAATAGCAGTCCCAGTAGTCTTTATTCGCAGGGGGTGACTCCACTTGAGACCTCTGCTTGGCACTGGCATGGTTCGAAGTTATCTCGTACTCTTGACAGCGTCAATTTTCAAGATTCCTGGACAGATCAGCTTGTGTCACTGCAGCACTTTGAGGCAAATAACCATTTCGACCGCGGTACGTTTTTCTCGCAGTCGACGGCACAGGCAGATTCCTTCCAGGCGGGCGTCAGAATGCAAAATCCTGGACACCCAGGTTCGACGTCGCCACGTTCGTCGTTGCCACTTGCTGGGCTGGCTCGTGTTGGAAACTGGCCACCGATTTCTGTTGGCAAGGAAGGGTCTCTGTTCGCGAAGCACGGCAGTCTCCTTCTCATCGAGGGCACGATTGAGGCAAGTGGCTGGAAGGTTACCTGGGAGCTCTACGCTGACTTAGGCTCTGAACTTCGAGATCGACGGCCACGACCTCCTCAACTTCCCAGAGTGGATCGAGCCAGAGAGCGACGAGATCTTAGGTATGATATGACTGCTGCCGCGTCCAGGTGGGTCCACGACATCAGAGGCGAGCGCTACAATTCTTTGGAACATTGGAAGGAGTGGTGTGTTCCGTACACTGTGGCATCGCTCTCACGTCGGTCTATGCGCGGCCTCCGTCAGAACCTGGAGAATTACTACCGCATGTCGTTGCAGGACATCGCAGAACATTTATGCACGCGCGCTTGGGTCACAGCGGAGCCGCACAGGGCTTTCTTCTTCAACACGCTCAACTCCATCAGGAACCCTAGGCGCTACAGGAGATTCCTGCGATGGCATTTCGACGACCTTAGTGAGCTGCGCCGACGGTTTCGACGCCTTCTCGGGAATCGGGTTCCTCCAGATCGTTCCTTTCCTGACCAAGTTGACGGCGACATGGAGGACGATCAGGCTCAGGATCGAATGTGCATCTTCTGGGACTGGGTCATACAAGCTATTGGGGCCACTCAGGCTACCGAGAAGGAGGCGAAGGCTGACATAGGAGATGGTGCACAGTTTCGGGTGTACATGCGTAATATGTCGACCTGGGGTACGTCGGCCAAGGCGCTGTTGAAGCGGTCCTACGACGCGGTCATCATCCAGGAGACCCACATGGACATGGCCGAAACCAATGGCGTCTTGTTGGAGTTTGATAAAGCTGGTTGCAAAAGTATGGTGTGCCCAGCGGGTGCTGAGTCGGCTATCTTCACGAAGAAAGCTGGTGGTGTCGCGATGGGTGTCTCAAAGAAATGGTCTTCTTGGTTACTCAGGCACTTGGCCTCCAACAAGGACGAGCTACCTGGTAAGCGAGCAGATAAAGGCAAGAAGGACGTGGCGGCTCTTACCACTGGAGTTCGTTTTAAGGATCTGGTCGGGATGCAGGTGCTTTTGAAAGGTGCACATCTCACGATTATCGGAGGCTACCTATACAATGGGTTGGGCATCACGGGCGCCAACGTGGAGAAACTTAGACATTTGGCCTCACTCGTTTCCTCTTTATCGACACCTTGGGTCATCTTATGCGACTGGAACTTCCCTCCAGATACCCTCCGCAAGGCCGGGTGGCTCAATTTGGTCCAAGGCAATATCTTGGTGGCAGACAACGTGGACTACACGTACACTGGAGGGCAGGGTACGCTCCTAGACTATGTTGTGGCCTCAGGGCCTGCCTTGGAGTACCTGGACCGCATTCACGCCGACACGGACTTAGTGGGCGAAGGCGGCAAAGCGCATTACGGTATTGTCTTGGATCTACTTCTGGCTGCCAAGCCAGCTGAGGGACGAACTCTTAGCTTACCAAAGGCTTTTGGCCCTCCGCCTCAGCCCAAGAAGCAGGCGGATCCAAACAGCAAGCGCTCGAGGAAGCTGGTGGTGGTGGCTACTCCAACGTCAGCGAGACCGAAGATCGCCAAGCTTGGGGAGAGACGGCGGCTTGGTATCAAATCTCCTCCTCCATTCAATTTCTTGGGTCCTATGGATCTTGGGGAGGATTCAGAGAGCGATGAGGGCGAGCCTGACGACGACGAGCCTCTACCTGACGAACCAGAGGACCAAGATGAAGGCCTGGTCCCTCCTGGGGGTGGAGCTGGCTTAGGCGATAAGTGGTCAGTTGATCAGCGTGCCGATCTTTGGTCGTCCATCAGCATACCTCAGGATCATTGCTGGTCGGAACCGCCGTCGTACGTCACGGACTCCCACGCTTGGCTGCTTACCTCTGATAGCGCTGGCAAGTTGGGCATTGCCTTCGGTGAGTGGGTTGGCAAGGTTGAAGAGTTCTTCAGCCACCTGCTCGACGGTGAGGGTCTGGACAAAGACAGCAAGGCTCATCGAGGCCGAGGTCTGGCTCGACTTACCAGGACCCATAAAGTGGTGCCGTCCCCTCCCTTTACACGCACACGGGATCCTGGAGTGGACTGGTGGGCCAAGATTGCTTTCTTGATGGAGGAGTTGGACAGGGCCAGTTCCAAGCGAGAATCGCCTCGGTTTGGGAAGTTAATTACCAGGCTCAGGGAGGCCGCGGCTTGGGTTCCTTCTTCGACCCTGGCTTCTCTCCCGCACAAGGAGAAAACGGCTTGGTGCAGGAAGCTGCGGCAGCTCAACATCGCCACGAACGACACCATCAGGCGCTACAAGGACGAGAGCAGCAAGATTGCTGCCAGCTTGCAGCGGATGGAATGTTACTCCCAGTATCTGGCCTTCTCCCAATGGGCGGAGGAGCAGTACGTTGCAGCACCTGGGAAGCTGTTTCGACTTATCAAGGACAAGGCCACCTCGAAGGATGAGTTCGAGGAAGGCCAGGTAATATCGTCGGACCCCCTCACGGCGATGGACATTCGGGCTAAGGTGTGGAAGAAGAAGTGGAGCGACCAGCAGCTCGACATCGGCCAGGTCACCATACTCTTGGGACGTGCTAGGGCTCGCGCTCGTGAAGATGCTTTCCCTCTCTTCGACTTGGAGACGCTGGAAGACGGCATCCGAAGGATGAAGGGCACTTCGGCGAAGGGCATTGAGCAGTTGGGGAAGAGGGACCTCATCTGGCTGCCCGAGCAAGGTAAGCAGGAGCTGGTCCAACTTTTTCAACTTATCGAACAGTCAGTGGCATGGCCTTGGCAACTTACGGTGGTTCTGGTCACTCTTCTACGCAAGCCGAGCGGTGACGACAGGGCCATTGGTATATTATCGACCTTGGCGAGGCTCTGGTCGAGTTGTCGAGGCGAGTACCGTGCCAGCTGGACTAAGGCAAAGGCTGGGCATTGGGATGCAGCAGTGGCAGGTTCCTCAGCCTTGCGCGAGGCCTTAGCTCGCAGCTACCTGGACGAGACGGTCGCGCTCACCACGATTAAAGATTGGGTGCAGGCCAGCGTGCTGTGGGACATTGAGGGGTTTTACGACGCTCTCAAGTGGCAGCTCTTACTGGAGACTGGTATGGAGCACGATTTTCCACCGTGCATCTTGGCATTGGAGATGATTTTACACATGGGAGTGCGTTTCCTCCGTGACAGTGGTTATTATTATGATGCCATCATACCCGAGCAGAGCATGATAGCTGGACTTGGCGGCGCAGTGGATTTCTCTCGCTGTTCTTTGTACAACATCTTGGACAGAGTGGCGCAGGGGTCTCCTGGTGTTACGGTCAGGTCTTGGGTGGATGACGTTTCTCAAAGAGTGGAAGGCAGATACAAAAGAGTCCTCGGATTAGCCTTGCAAGCTGGTTTGACTTTTGCAAAAGGTTGCTCTGAGGCAGGTTTGGTGATATCGGCAAAGTCGACGACTGTCACCAACAATGCTGGGCTAGGCAAGGAGTTGAAACGAGGATTCGCCAAGGAGGGCTTCGAGGTCAAGATCGAGAGTGTCGCCACCGACTTGGGCATCGATCGAGGTACGCTTGGTTTTCGGCGTCCGAAGCAGGCTCAGCGGCGAAGAGGTGCTCAGCAGCGTTTCACTCGAGTCAAGCGGTTTGCTCAAGGTGCTGTTCGCAAGAAGACCGGCGCAAAGTTGGCCATGATGGGTGTTCTTCCGATGGCTGACTACTCGGACAAAGTCTTTGGAGCGGCTCCGTCGGTCATCAACGGCTGGAGGAAAGCTCCGGGACAGACCCTGGCAAAGAAATGGCCAGGTCGTTGCCTTACCACTCTTTTACAACTTCGCGTCGGCCGCAAGGACCCTCAGTACCAGATCGTGCACAGGCTGGTGGAATCTTGGATGTCCATTATCTTCAAACCAGGCTTCGACCTAGAGTTGGCACGTCGTACCTGGAGGACGGCACGAAGGCGGATTGACAGCAGGGATCTGAAGGACAGATGGAGAGGCATCACTGGAGTGGTATCTGCAACTATAGCCACGCTCTTAGACATCGGTTGGGATCCTGTGGGGCCTTGGGCATGGATTTCCGATCTTGGAGAAAGGTTTATGGCCCCAGACCACATCATCGGTCAAGGCCCCCAAGATATGAGTGCCCTCAAAGATGCCATCTCTGATACGATCGACCGTATGCTTTGGGATAAGGCTTCGCGGCATTGGAATGGCAAAGGTCTAGATGAGGGAGCTGACGTTTGTGAAGCTCGACGTCACCTCACATCTTTGAAGAAGAAGGGCGAGCACGAGATGGCAGGCGCTATCGAGACTGTCATGACGGGAGCTTCGTGGACACGCAGCAGGATCTCGACCCTGAGCAGCAGCAATTTGGACACCACCGATTGTCAGCGTTGCAAGTGTGGATTGGAAGAGACCGATTTGCATCGTAGTTGGTCGTGTTCTTGCAATGAGGTGTTCTCGTCGGTCTCTACAAACTTGCGTAACAGGGCCCACCATGACTACGAAAACCTTCCCTGCCTGTGGTTGAGGGGCTTATTGCCTGCTCCTTGGACCAAGGTGGACGAGCCGACAGACAACCCGTATGATGAGGTCATCGGCCATAAGGATGATCTCAAGGATCTCGATCATCTCTTGGTTGGTTGTGATGCTTCAGGAGGGCTTCACTCAGCAGATGCTAGGTTGCGGCGTATTGGTTGGTCATATCAAGTCATCAAGGTGACCTCCGACACCGACCTAGACGTCCAGCTTTTGTTCTCCCGAGGCGGTGGTATCCCCAAGAAGCAGGCCATCAACCGTGGTGAGACGACGGCTTTGCTCAGGGCCGCTGAAGATCTGCTCAACTTAGGGGTCCCTATCACCTTCGTCACGGACTCGGGGTACGTGGTCAATGGGCTCCGCAAACTTTCGCAAGGGCGGCTTCCGACTACGAACCTGGACCTTTGGCTGCAGGTCAAGGACGTGGTGGCACAGTACCCATCTATGCTCAGCGTCGTCAAGATCGAGAGCCACATGTCTGTCGAGGTGGCCATCCAAGCTGGGACGCAGATCGAACACTACCTAGCTAACGCCTTAGCGGATGAAGCGGCTGGTTACTGGGCAAATGTGGTGGCTGTTCATAGTTCAGTTGCAGCGTCTCTGGAGCATGCGGAAGCAATCGGTCGTGCTGTCCGCAAACACCTGGCCAAGGCTTTTCTGGCAGCGGCGGAGGCGGAGCCCAAACGTTTCCGTCCGACGAGGTCCATGGCGAAAAAGTTCAGTCGTCGTGTCAAGTTGTCCGAGCACCAGGTCTTCACTGGCATGGGCACATCCTTTCATTGTTCGGCTTGTGGTTGCAGCGCGAGTGGTCGCAAGCTGGAAAGGTTCTTGGAGACGCCCTGTTTGGGGGGTGTTCTCAAGGGCCACATTCAGAGAGTGGGCGATGTTGGTGTTCACGTACAAGGAGTTCCGATTCATGAGTCCCACCTCTTGGGTTATTTCAAGGACCTGCAGATCCATGCCTGTTTGCGCTGCGGTTGTGTCGGCAAGCATTTCCTGCGCAGGTTGGCGAATGTGTGTTCTGGTCAGCTGGGCCACTACGGACATCAGAACTTGGGCAAGCTGGCCCGAGGCATTCTACCGAAGGGGCGTGTGGCATTTTGCAGCAAGCAGCCCGAGCATATCGGCACCTAATTTCGTCGTGCTGACTTTTCATTTCTTTTTGAGGCCTCTGGTCTTGGGCGTCTATGTGTATCATGGTATAAGTCCTACAGCAGCCTCTTCATGGCGTTGTGGTCGCCTTTGGCTTCGCTCGACGTTTTCGAGGCGCTGGTATTCCTGGGGGTGGCTCCTCTCGAGACCCCAGGTGAGTGTGCCTGCGGGCGCCTTTTCTTTCGAGGTCCGCTTCGACATGCTCGTCAGCATCGTCGAGGCGCTTCTATTCCTGGGGGTGGCCCCTCCTGGGACCCCAGTGCGCCTTCGGGCGCCTTTTCTTTCGAGGACTGCTTCGGCATGCTCGTCCGCATCGTCGAGGCGTTATTCCTGGGGGTGGCCCCTCTTGGGACCCCAGGTGGCTGCCGCATGAGTGCGGCCGGCCGTCCTCCCCTCCTTCTCCTTCCCCTTGTCTTGCTCCTCCTCAGGGCTTCTGTGCTGCGGCGGAGGGAGGCTGCGGGGCGCGGAGTACTAAATACTCCTCCTCCTCCTCCTCCTCCTCCTCCTCCTACCTCCTCCCTCCTCCTCCTCCTCCTCCCTCCTCCTCCTCCTCCTCCTCCTTCTCCTCCTCCTCCTCCTCCTTCCTCCTCCTCCCCCTCCTCCTCCTACCTCCTCCTCCTCCTCCTCCTCCTCCTCCTCCTCCTCCTCCTCCTCCTCCTCCTCCTCCTCCTCCTCCTCCTCCTACTACCTCCTCCTCCTCCTCCTCCTCCTCCTCCTCCTCCTCCTCCTCCTCCTCCTCCTCCTCCTCCTCCTCCTCCTCCTCCTCCTCCTCCTCCTCCCTTCTCAGTGAAGCCGCCCCCCTCGCGGCCCCCCCTTGTGCGCGCTGCCACTCGAGGAGGACGACGACAAGGAGAACGAGGCGCGGGGCGCAGGGAAGGAAGGGCACCGCCGGAGGGATGGCCTCACACTGGAGAAGGACGAGGAGGAGGATGAGTCGGAGAAGGAGGACGAGGAGGATGGATCAAGGAGGAGGAGGGATCGAGGATGAGGAGGAATCGAGAAGAAGAAGGAGGAGGAGGAGGAGGAGGAGGAGGAGGGCCCGCCTGGGCGAGAGCTGGGAACAGTGGGGCCCCATGACAAGAAACATCCTGCGTTTCGTCAGGGTCCCCTGGGTCTCTCTGGCTGGCGGTCGGCGCAGAAGGTTGTCGCAATCTCGAAGAAGCTGCAAGTGCCAGGGCACCCTGGGTTTCTTGGGCGTCGGACAGTTTCGGGGCGCGCGCCCGAACCTACACGTGAGGCGTTCCAGAAAGGGCCTTGCCTTCGAGGATCGAAGGAGCTGCCATCTCTCCCGCGGCGGAAGCGCGGCGGAAGGGCGGCGGAAGTAAAACGAGGCCCGTCTCTCCGCCGGCGGGCGGAAGCTGGCGGAAGCTCGGCGGGAGGCGGCGGCAGTAAAAAGTTGCCCCCCCGCCAAGAGATGAAAACGTTTTGGGGCTCAGGGTTTCCGAGGTCGCCCACGTGTGGCCAGATGTCTTTCCGGCCCCGGGCCCTTCCATGGCCGTGCAGGCTGGGCTTCCGCGCTCGTATCCAGCGCATGGCCTCCGGATGTTCGGGCACGCGAGTCCTGCCCTCTGTGCTTCCAGCACCGTGGTGCGCGTGGGGCGCTTCGGGTATGTCGTCCGTCTCCCGCCCCGGCCCCTCCTCTTCGCTTTCCGCTGGGCCTGGGTCCCTTGGGGCCAGTCCGGGACCGATTCCTGATTCTTGTTCGTGGCGCGCGGGCTCATGCTGGTGTGGTAGCTGGCGCGCGCGCGCGCGTTGGCGCTGATCTCCACCTCCAGGCGTCACGCTCGCCAGTCTCACTCGGCTGTTCGGGTTTTCTCGGTAGGGAGCCTTTTGTACACTCGCAGCTCCCGATTTAGGGTGCACTAGCGTCGATTAGCGTCTAGTGGTCGCTGGGGTTGCGCCGATTTAGCGTCGATGGGCGTCGATCAGCGTCCATCTGGCGTCGACCAGCGTCGGCTAGCGATGATTCGCGTCGGTTTGCAAGAGCCGACAAGATGGCACGGGAGGCTCCCTTGAGCGGCAGCAGGAGGCTTTGAGCAGGGCGAGGCAGAGAAAGGCGGCATGCCATGGCGGGGAGAGGAGCGTCGCCCCCGAGGAGGCGCCCCCGCTGCCGCTCAACCCCCGGCGGTGGCCTCTGCAGAGGGGCCGGGGCGGCAGGCGGGGAGAGCTTGATGGCGGCGGCTCTGTTGGCGGGCGCTCGGCGGAAGCTCTTCAGCATCTTCTTGGCGTCTGCCGCTGTGGGCGCTTCAGGGGTGCACCTGTGCAGCGCGAGCGAGGTGTCAAAGGGGGGGGGGGGGGGTGCGCGGAGCCAGGTGCGCCGAGGCGGCCCAGCGATCCGGGAGGCGCCCTCGGGGCGCCCGCGGCGAGCCCCAGCGGTCGCCCAGTGGCCTCAAGCCGGAGGAAGGAAAAGGCTTGCCCCCCGAAAGAGATGTCAACCACGGCGCCCTCGGGGCTGCCAGAGTCGACCACGCGTGGGCGATGGCGGGGCCCTCGGCCGAGCTCCGTCCTCTGCGGTCTGCGGGGGGCCCGACCTGGAGTTTCGGGCGGAGCGTGTGCGCTGCGGCCGGGTGTGGGGGGGGCGCCGTGGCGCCTCGGGCCCTTGCGTGCTGCGGTCTCGCCGCGCCGAGCTTCGCCGACGTCGCCGAGATGCTTTTCCCGCGCGCACGCGTCTCATGCTTCGCTCCTCCTCCTCGGCATTCAGCTGCAATCGTTCGGGGGCCAGGCGTGATCTTTCTATGCGGCTCTCCTGTGGCCGTCCTGGCCGCTCTGGTGCTGGAAGCGATCAGGGCCAGAAGCGAGCGTGGCCAGAAATGAATCATGTGTGACATCCAGTGACATCCCGGAGGGGTGTTGCGGGCGGTATTTGTGCTACCACTGTGGGCGTGCCGCTTTTGTTCGTGTTTCCAGACAGCTGCGCCAGCAGCTCGCAGGGGTCCTTGGCAGTTCAATACTATGTAGATGCGCTCCCGACGCTGTCCATTCCAACCAAACGGACGAAGAGCGCACGCGACGGCCAGCGCCACGCATAAAGCGCACACTCAGCACACACACACACACAACCGCCCCCCCTCGAACAAAAAAACATGAACACACACACACAAACGCACACGCACACACACACACACACACTTTTAAGTCGGCGGCGCACAGGGTCCTCAGCGGGGACGGCAGATGGAAGACACACACACACACAAACGCACACACGCACACGCATACGCACAG